TAAAGCAAGAGCCATCACAATGTCAGCATTCAAGTTATATTACAAAGTTACAGTGAAAAAAGCAGCATGGTACTGACGCAAAAACAGACCTGTGGATCAAAGGAACAGGACAAAGGATGCAGAAATCACCTCTGGCTCATTCAGCTATCTGATCTTGGACAATGGGACCAAAATATATAATGGGCCTCTTTAGCAAATGATGCTGGGAAAACTGGCTATCCACAAGCAGAAGACTGAATCTAGACCCATATCTCTCACAATGTGCTAAACTAAAATCAAAATGGATCAAAGCTCTAAATATTAAAACAGAAACATTTAATCTGCTACAAGATAACATAGATGAAACTCTTGAAGACGGAGGTACAGGGAAGGACATTCTGAGCAGAACCCCAGTTACACAAGAAATAGCATCAAGGATCAACAAATGGGATGTAGCAAATCAAAAAGTTTCTGTATAGCAAAGGAAACACCAAAAGAATAAAAAGACAGCCCACACAATGGGAAACTCAGAGGACTGCTATCTAGAATACATAAATGTCTAAAAAAATTAGATCTCCCAAAATATAAGACCCAATTAAAAAGTGGGCCACTGATGGGAGGCAGAGGCAGGAGGATCACAGGTTCAAGGCCAGCCTGGGCTACATACTGAGCTAAGGCCAGCCTGAAATACACATCAAAACCCTGTCAAAAAAACCCATTGAGATAGACACTTCTCGTAAGAAGTACAAATGGCCAATAAAAACATGAAAAAAATGTTCAACTTTTCTGGTATTTAGAGAAATGCAAATTAAAACAACACTGAGATTTTATCTTACTCCAAAGATAATGGCTAATATCAAGAAATCAAATAAGAAATGTTGGAGACGCTGTGGAAGAAAAAGTAAACTAGTACATGTAAACTAGTACAATGTAGTACAAATGTAAACTAGTACAACCACTAAGAAAATCAGCAGAAAGGGTTCTCAAAAAACTAAAAACAGAGTCCATTTGAGCCAGCTATTGCTTTTGTAGGTATCCTCCCAAGAAAGGTAAAGACATCATATTACAGTGATATAGGCATAACAGCATTTATAGAAGCACAACTCCTCATAGTTAAATCTTGGAGGCAGCCTGTATATACATCAAGAGAGGATGGATAAAGAAAACGTGGTATTTATTCACAATGGAGCACTCCTGTGCCGTAAAGGACAAATCTGAGTCATTTGTAGGAAAATGGGTGCACTCTGAGACCATAATATCTAGTGAAATAAATCAGACACACAAGCTTAAATATTGTATGGTTTCTCTTATATATGAAGCCTAAAGTACAAATAAGCTAAAGAGCAAACTAAAATGTAGGTAATAGGAAATAGAGGGATAGATCTTTTGCAAATGGGCAGGGGACCAAGAAATGGAGGGAAGCACACAAAAAGGAGGGAGAAAGGGAAGGGGAGGAAAAAGGCTTCAGATGTGGTGTGTACACGCACCAACTCCCGGTGGCGGATGTGATTCTCATGTGCTCACACATGTACTAATGACAGTGAAAACTAAGAAAAAGAAAGGGAGTGAAGAAGAGGCAGGGAAGGAAGGAGGGAGGGAGACAGAGGGGATAGGGAAGGAGAAACCTTCATCGTTAGGAAGTATCACAAAGGGCAAAGAAAAAAGGAGGCAAGCAAAGGAGACCAAAGGACCGAGAAAGTGACCTTGATCTTCTGCACTCCTGACACACTGTGGGTGTTTTGCTGTTTGCTTTTCTGAGTGGTGCCGAGGACTGAATTCAGCCCCTCTAGCATGCTGGGCAAGTCCTCTAGCGCTGATTTACACCCCCTGCAGTGCATTTTACTGTTATTTCTCCTTTTCCTTCTCTTCTTCCTCCACTTCCTTCTTCTCCCATTCTTATACCCATTTTGCAGTTGCTAAGGTGAGACGTAGGGAGGAAACTCTGAGTCAGTGTGCCCTGGGTTGGAGGCCCGTCCTAGTTTAGTGACCTTGGGAAGATCATTCATTCTGTCTGGTTTTCAGCTTTCTCACCTGTAAGACGAGACAATGAAAACTACTTGGCAGGGCTGCAGTAGAATGTGTGCTAATGCTCCCCAGCACCGTAAAAGAAAACAAAACAAAAGCAAAACTACTTTGCAGAGCTATGGAGCAAAAGGAATAATATGTAACACCTAGTGTATGCCTTGCATTCTAACCATGGAAGTTATTAGCAGTACTGCTTTTAAGTGAGTTGCCTGGGGCCACAGAGCTAGTGAGGAGACAGTTTCGACTCAGGAGTCCAGAGTGCACAAGTCCTGCCACACCGGGCTGACTCACTAGACGGTTGCAAAGCAGGAGGGAGGCACATAAATTACAAATCCTCTCTCCCACAGGCATACATTTACACACAGGGAGTGACACCGGTTGTTTTTGTCTACTTAGCAACCATTCCCTTTTATTCTGAGAACAGCATCTATCTTTCTTAGTCTGTGAGGTTTAGATTGATTTGACACCATCCCAGGCCTAGGGGTGAATATTTGACTCAAGTCAGGCCAGATTTAATCCTGATATTTTTGTTGAGAAGGAAGATTTCTTTCTAATGAGGTTATTGAGAGGGCAGAATATAAGCCTAGAGCTACCGGGAAGATTCCTTGCCATTTTGTGGTCCATGAAAGGAGAGTTGAGAGATAAAGAACAACAGATCCCTAACATTACTACTTGATTACCTGGAGACAGCTATGCCTGAAGCCAGCCATCAGCTGGAGTTTTCTCCCTTTAGCTGATTTGAATCCAGTTTTTGTCTTGCAACCAAGAGTCCTAACTGACTAATCAAAGGCTCGTCTAATATAATAATGCTCATGTACCATAAACAACACCAGAATGACTCAACAACACAAAGACTAAAAAGAAGAAAAACAAATAGAACAAATACTTTCTCTTTTTCACTTTCATCTTACATATATGAAAGAATATAAGGGTGCTAACAATTGCTGGATGAGTGTGGGAACGTCCAAGAGCAGACCCTCCTTGCCACCCACTGGTCACCCACTCACCTGCACGAACTTCAGGGTCCTCTGTGCCAGTGTCACAGTGTTTATACAACATCTGTGTCCACTCCACAGAAAGATGTCCGGCTACCATCCTGATGCTTCATTAAGAACACTAGCGTTAGACTGGGTGTGGTGGTACATGCCTGTAATCCCAGTACTCGGGAGGCTGAGGCAGGAGGATCCCTGAGAGTTCCAGGTCAACCTGGCTACACAGTGAGTTTAAGGCCGGTCTGAACTACATAGAGAGACCATGTCCCCCTGTCCCCCCACTAAACAAAAACAAAAACAAAACTAAGAAGAGAGAAAGAAAACCAGAGTTGGTGAAGTGTAAGAGAATGCACGTGTGCATGTGTGCTCATGCTCACACATGTGTGTGTTTTCAGCACTGGGAATGGAATGCACTGTACTCTACCACTGAACTACCTCATAGCCCTTTTTATTTATTAGTTATTATTTTCATTTCAGGATCTCGCTGATTTGCCCAGGCTGGTTTCGAACTTGTGATCCTCCTGCCTCACCCTCCTGAGTAGCTGAGATCACAGACATGAACCTGCCAGGGGAAAATACACATTTGAATTCATAGCTTTGGATTCTTCTTTTGTTGAACTCCTCTAAAGTCATAATTATCCAATAAACATTTACTGTCCTCTTCCATGCGTGAGCCTCCGGATAATCAAGATAAGAAGGCTCATCCCCTCATTTCTTACAGACTTAGCGTTCCCACAGAGAGAAAACAAGTCCTCCGCGCTCCCTGCCCAAGGAGGTATGTCTTCTGTCTCCTTAAAGACCACGACTTGGCAGTCCAGGTCTCCGTCTCCGAGTCAGCTCTGGTTGCCTGAGAACCCATCTGGTGGGGGTGCTGACCGCTGAGTCACCAAGAGGCATGAAGTCTCCCACGGAACCTCACACCAGAGAGCCAGACTTCCAGCTAAGCCGGCTGCTGACCTGGCCGCCCCTGAGAGAGGCCGGGAGGGCTGCTCCGCAAACACGGTCACCCCGCGATGACCTCACCTGCCAAACCAGTGACTCACTCCCAATTCCCTCCCCAGCGGCAGAATCTCGCTCATGTGGAACACCGGAGGGGAATACCAGCCTCCTGCGTTTCACGAAAACACACAATTTGGGAGCTATTTTTAAAAGCATGATGATTTCTTTCAGGTGGAGACAGCAACCCAGGCAAGATCAAGAAGTAGGTGCTGGGTGAAGGGCGTGGGAACTCTCCTTTCACAGGAGAGCCGAATGAGAACGGGGATGGCAGAGATGATTTACTTTCCCCTTAAATGTTTTTAATCAAGGTGAAAAATATGCAACACAGAATTTACCATTTTCACTATTGATTTGTGCACAGCTCAGTGGCAGTAAGTACGTTTAGTGTTGTGCAACCATTACCACTACCCACTGAAAATAGGATTTTTTTTTTTGGACAGGGCCTTGCTATGTAGTTCAGGCTGGACTTGACTTCACTATGTAGCCCAAGCTGGCCTTGAATTTGGAGCAATTCTCCTGTCTCAGCCTCCCGATTACAGGCTGGGATTACAGGCGTGTGCCACCACACCGGTCTGTACACAGAAATTTTACACAAATTGAACAAAACTTCCCATGCCTCCCTCCCCAGCCTCTGGTAACCTTTACACTCCTTTTCTACCTATACATGTATCCATTTCAGGTATTTCATGTAAATGGAATCATACACTCATCCCCTTTTGGAACAGATTTTTATCACTTAGAATCGTGTCTTGAAGACTCATCTAGGCTGAAGGCTGTCTCAATATTTTTTAAAATTTTAGGCAGTGTCTCACTGTGTAGTTCAGGCTGGCCTTGAACTTATTACACAGCCCAAGCTGGTCTTGAACTTGCAGCAATCCTCCTGCCTCGGCTTCCTTCCTTTTAAAACTAACATCTCATGACAGGTACACATTCCATTTTATTCGTTCATTCATCTATGTGTTCTTTCCACTTGTTCACTGTTACGGGTGGTTTGGCTTTGAGTCCTTAAAGACCCTTTGTTTTCTTTAGCAAATGGGTCTTCTCTACAAAGATGCTGGGAGTTCTCTGTAAACAGGATCTAAAATGGCCAATTCTGATTATTCCTCTTGAGCACTGTGAAGATGAAGTTAGATCTTGGGTAAGAAGCTGCTTTCTTCCAAGCCCTACATAAAACATTCTCCCCTGTTTGTACCATTTGGCTTAAGCTTTTCCCCACAGAGAAAAAAGGAACCCAGAGCTAGCCTCTTTTTAAATTATAGTCCAACCTGATGGAAATGACCCACGTGAATGAGGTTTTCTGGGGAGTGTTTATGTACCATGCTCTGCCTACCTTCTCCAAAGCAGAGCGCATATCCATCACGTGCTTACCATGGACCAGGAAACTGTTCTGTCACTTACTAAGCATCGTCCTCACTTTCTTCACTTGTAGAGTGAGGCCCAAAGTAACAGAATCAGCTTCACATGAGTGCTTCATGTGGCAGTCATTGCGGAGGATTATCAGCCTGGCATATGGGGCCATTCAGTTGATGTCAGCTGCCTTTACATTTCTTTCCTTCCTTTCTTTTTTCCTCCTACGCTCCCCTCCCTCCCCTCCTCCCCTCTTCCCTCCGTCCCTCCCTTCCCACAGTCCCTCCGTTCGTTCGTTCGTTCGTTCCTTCCTTCCTTCCTTCCTTCCTTCCTTCCTTCCTTCCTTCCTTCCTTCCTCTCTGTACTGCCAAGGATCAAATCCAAGGTCTTATGCGTGCTAGGCAAGTATTGTCCCACTGAGCTCCCCAACCGCTTAGTATTATATATTTCTTACTTAGGCTTATTTTTGTTCTAATCTTCTTAAACTACTAACAAATAAAGATTAAATGCACGGCCTTAGTTTTAAAAAAAAAACCTCAAAAAAACAAAACCATGAATTCTAGAGAAAAGGAGCCAAGTCTGCCATGCTAATTGACGTTTTAAGAGAGCCTGGGGTGGTTAAACGGCTCGGATCTGATTTGCTGCCTTGGATGTCTCACTGTAACTGTTACCGCACAGCCAGTGTCCTCTTCTCTGTACCACGGGGCTAGCAGCTACTTCATGGTGAAGACCAGGGGAGCTTGTGCCTGTGCCGCTTTGCAAGTGTTCCCCGGATGCTCGCTGCCAGGACGGTTGCAGCCTCCCCCTTGGCTTGGCACATTGTGGGGGCTCAGTAAGTGTTGGCCAAAGTGATTTAAAACAAACGTAGCTTCACTGAGAATGCATTAAGCCAATGTATCTTAAAAGATGCACAAGAAACACTCCACGGGGGGAGAAAAGATAGGAAAAACACCAACACAGGATTAGAAACCCACTTCTGCCCCCAGTGAGCTGCCTCGGGCCTCTTCTCTGGGTCCAGAGATTGATATTCCCAGAGTCGGTTCTAAGACCCTGGGGTAAGAGAGCTTTAAAATCTTGGTACAGGAGCGATGCGGAAAGTGGCCCACAGGGCAGAACCCAGAAGCCGGGGCCACAGCGCCCAGTGCAGCCAGTGGTTTCCTGCGTGGGACAAGGCCGGAGTCACTTCCCGGGACCGGCTGGCCTCGCCGAGGCTGCCAGGATGCTGTGGTCTCCATGACAACAGACTGTGCGAATGCGGAGCTGCAGCAAAGAGGTGGTGTCATCCTGCGAAACCAAAACCCCCCGCCCACACACAGCCGGCCGGCCGCAGGAAGTGGAATTCTTCTGGGAAAGCGGCTGACGTCGCCGGTGGCCAGGCCTCGGCCGGGAGGCGCTGATGCAAGCGCAGGGCGCAGGAGGCGGCGGTCCCCGGGGACGGCGCAGCGCCCGTCCTGCTCCCTTCCGGCCGCCCCGCCCGATCTTCCCTGTGAGGAGTCAGCAGCTCCTGGGTGGTTCCCCAGGAAAGGCTCAGGGTGTGTGCGCGTGTGCATGTGCGTGTGTGCGTGTGTGCGTGTGCACGTGTGCGTGTCCTTTGCCCAAACCAAGTCCTCTCGCCTGCTCTTCCCAGCTTGGGAGTCGACTCAGCCTCCCAACTTGGCCGTGGTTGTGCAGACGACCTGCGGGGCTCCCGCGGCTCCCAGGGGACCGCCCAGGTGGCCGGGCTACCTAGTGTCAGCCGGTGCCAAGGAAACCGTCGGGATCCCGCGGGAACCTGGTGTCTGGACGCGTTCTGGGGGCGGAAGAGGTCGGGTCTGGGCTGGTCTCTATCGCCCTCTGCTGGGAAAATGAGAAAATTGCTCTAACATCCCTCAGGGCTCTCCCAGAGATTTGGGAGAAGTGTGGGGAAGTGGGGTGAGGCCGGCGCGGGAACGTTAGGGATCACTTCCCCATAAAACAGGGCCTGGGGCTCAGAGACGACCAAGAGTTTGTGCACAGTCCCACAGCCGCTCTCCGACCAAGTGGGGACCGGAATTTGCACTGACGGCCCTCGCAGGGCAGCGATTTTGCAAGTGAGCCTCCCGGTAGTTGACTGCCTGCCTGAGGGCTCCCTTTACCCGCTCCTCCTCGCGGGCCTCTATCACTGCATCCCATCGGGATGCTAAGTGTGACTCGGGACCCTGTTTCCGCGGCTCCGCGAAGCCAAAACTATTTTCAAACAATACCAAGAGGCTATTTGCTTTTTTCATTTTTTCTTCTGCCAGCATGTACTTTGGAATTTTTAAAAGACCGCATGACATGTGTTGCTGCAATACCTTGAATACAGAGGCAGGAATAAGAATCCAGCCCTCTTCTATTAAGGAAATAGATATACAAAAATGTAAAATGATGTCATGCTTCTCATGCATGATTTTTGTTTTAGGAAATAGAGATATTTTCATAAAGTGTATGTTAATATGTAATGAGTTTATTATTTTTGAACAAATTAAATTGGTAGTTTTAATTTTTTTTGAGACAGGGTCTCTCTGTGCGGGTCAGGCTGGCCTTCAACTCACTATGTAGCCCAGGCTGGCTTCCAACTCTTGGCAATCCTCCTGCCTCAGCCTCCTGAATAATGACTGGGATTGCAGGTGTTAATCATGCCCAGCAAATCTTAATTTCTAATATGGGAAATACTGATAGCTATAATGCACCTCAACCAAGCTTATTATGTTCACAATACGTTTTAAAAATGTAAAAGGATCCTGAGCAAAGAATTAGGGGGAAAAAGTGTAAACTGAGACCTGAGGTGCTCTGCATAAAGTAAGCTCCTCCCAGTCGCTGTCATATCACCCTCTTTTACTTACTCCCCATACTTTTAACTGAAGAAATTATTTTTATTTTGAATGTGCTTATGAGTCAATTGAGGATCTTGTTAAAGTGAAGATTTGGATTTATGTGGTAGGCCAGAAGGGGGGCCAAACTCTTGTTTGGGAAGAGGGGTACTAGGGGTTGAACCCAGGGAGTGCTGCACTATCTCCCCAGTCCTTTTAATTCATTTACTTATTTTTATTTTGAGACAGGGTCTCATGAAGCTTCCCAGGCTGTCTTAGATTTTGTAATCCTCCAACCTCAGCCTTCCGAATAGCTGCGATTGAAGGTATACACCACCATGTCCATCCAAAACTCTGCATTTCTGACCAGTTGCCCAACAATGCTGATGCTGATGATACTGCTTTGGAATCTGCATTTTGGGAACCGCAGCTCCAGGCCCTGGTCTGTCCTGGTGGTGGACTTGCTCGGCACATTTCAGACGAAATCATACTAGGTAGCTGCTCAGTGTGAGTCGCTGTGTGCCCAGTTAGGACCAGCTCCTTCCTGATGGGGCTGAGGCTGCTGGAAGAAATCGAGGGTCAACCCATTTGCAGACTGGGAGGAAAATGATGATGAGGCTTAACAGAAACTTGGAGCTACACTGCTGAAAGCTACTCATAAGCTAGATATTAAGCTTATTCAGTTACAATTCCAGAATCAACTGGAGTCATTTCAAATATCAAAGCACATAGTAGATAGTTATATGGTGGGAATTTCAGTTGTGATGAGAAAACCTTGAACAAGGGGTGGGGTAGGGGATTTCTAAATGTGCCATGTAACATTTTTGCAGTGGGGTGGAAAATGTATTTAAAACCAAACTATTTGTAACTGCTTCTGCTATCTAAATTGGCTAGTATAATTTACATCAGTGGAAAAATGAATCTCTACACTGGGTCTTTCCATTTACAGAAGGGAAGAAAGAAGGCTGACGTTGTGAAACTTCTGCCCGTTGAGTTCTACTGCCAGAGGAGGGATTACCAACTCAAATGCCTCCAGCAGTCAGACAGGTCACATGAACCAGAGAGCCTGGTGCATCCTGGCAAAGACATGCCCTCTTGCCTACCAGAAGGGGACAGCCATTGGTCAACATTAACTTGGTGCTGCCATATTTGCTGGAGGAGGACCTTGTGTTGTCCAGCTTCCTCTCCTGCTCCGCCTCTTCCTCTCCTTCTTCCTCCCCTCCCACTTCCCACAATACTAGGAATTGAACCCAAAGCCTGTACACTGAGCTACACCTCCAGCCCTTGTTATTGCTTTATTTTGAAATGGGTCTCACTAAGTCTCTAAGTTACCCAGGCTGGGCTCAAACTCGCAATTCTCCTGCCTCAGCCTCCCAGTGTGCTGCGATTACAGGCATGCACCACCACACTTGCCAATCTTCCAAGTTTTTGAGAGAAATCTGAAATCAGGGTTACATGTGAAATGTATTCTTTTTTCAAATGTCTGAGTAAAAATCAAATTACACACCCACCCCCCTCACACACACAGACACACACACACACACACACTTTGTGCTGAGCCAAGCAAAGCAAATATTCCCAGCTCAGATAAAGGGGTAGAAATGGGACTAGGTGCCCCCCACTTTGTTTTTCAGTAATGGGGATTGAATCCAGACCCTTCCCATTGAGCTACATCCTTAGCTCTTTTAGTTTGTTTTGTTTTTTCCGGTACCAGGAATCAAACTCACGACCTTGCGCTTGCCAGGCAGGCACTGTGCTGCTGAGCTAAATCTCCGGCCCTCCTTAGCTCTTTTATTTTACATTGTTTAGTTTTTAATTTTGAGAAGGGTCTTGCTAAGTCGCTAAGTTGCCCAGGTTGAGATCCAGCTCACAGTCCTCCTGCCTCAGTTCCCAAATGCGAGAATTACAAGTGTGTGCCTCCGTACCTGCTGGACGGCCCTTGTGTTAGTCAGCCACTGAGACGATCCCTGAGGAGTGGTACAATGGTAAAGGAATATTCCTGTAGGAGAGGTACTGCCCAAAGTGAGGGAGTCTTGGGAATCAGAGGAATTAAAAAAAAAGAGAGAGAGAGAAGAAATCAAGGAACGTGGAAGGAGACTAGACCCGAAGAAGAAAGAGGTGGGAAATCATTTCTGGTTGGTGATGAATAAAGAAGATATGATTTTTTTATACAGTAACGTACTACTCTTCCATAGATAAGGATAAGCTCAAGACATTTCTAGCTAAATGGAAGCACCTTGGCACCATACTCATAAGTGAAATGAATCAGACGCGCATTTTAACATACTGCATTGCATTTCTGGTATGAGAAACCAAAAGTGTAAATAAGGACCAAGATGTATAGTAGATATTGGGAAATGGGAGAAAATGTCCTGAATATTTTCTTGGGGAACAAAGGGAACAATGGAAAAAAAAAGGGGGGAACAAGGCAGTGGGGTGGGGGAAAGGAAGAGAAGGACCAGCAAAAAAGAATAGAAGGAAAAAAGGGAGATAAAGCTCTTGTAAAAGAGGGAAGAGGGGTTGAAAAGAGAGGAGGGGAGTGGGAAAAAAAGAAGAAGCAAGATATGTTATGTATGGGTACAAATTCCATACGATGTTATCATCATGTATACCTAAAATGTACCAATAAAAAATTTTATTAAAAAAATCGTTCCTGGCTGAGAATTGTATGTGTGTGCAGGGCCAGGGCGGAGGTGTGGACCCTGGATTCAGTGAGGGAGTCTTTGGGGCGGCTGGGGGAGGGGAGGAAGGCAAGGACCTGAGCAGAGCGCGGTCAGTGGCTGCCTGAGGTATGTGTGACAGAGATCAAACGAGGAAAACAGGACTGGGTCTGCTGGCTGAGGCGCACAGAGTCCCAGGAACAACCAGTAAAAGCCGGACTTGCGAGGAGGTCACAGAGCTATCAGTGCTTGCACATGTCTCAAGGAGCAGGGGAGATCCCAGCAGAGACCTTGGGTAAAGAGAGCTGAGCGGTGGCACAGGGCGGGACCTTCCTACCTGTCTGTCAGTCATCCTATCTTCAGCCTCCTCTTCAGATAGGTACTAATAGCATCTGTAACAACTCTGCTGCAGAGCTCCTGTGAGGTACCATTGAGGTACTACCTGAGAAACGATTTGTAAAAAGAAGAAAGCCAGAGAAATGAGAGATGGAGAGTAAGTATCAGTTGACAGTAAATATTAAAATGGCCTGAACCACAATACGAGTACAGTAAAGACCCTCACTGAAGCTGATGGTGCTCACCGATGCCTGTAGTCCAATTGCTCAGGAGACCGAAGCTGGAGATTGCTCGAGTCACAAATCAGAGGCCAGCCTGGCCTTCTCTGTCCCCTGACAACCCACTGATCTGTTTTCTGTCGCCTCTTCTGGATTTTGGAAATTGAAGGTGTTGTGTAAATGAAAGCACACGGTAGGTACTCATTTATCTGGCTTCCTTCATTCGGCACGGTTGTGAGAGTCATTCCTCTTGTTGTCCATATCTCTGGTATATGAAGACAGCTGGGCTCTGGGTCAGATTGCCAGCATTCACGTGTTAGCCATACTATCTGCAATATGGCTTTGAGCAGGAAACTTCAGTACGTTTGTTATCCAGTTTCCCCAGGACTCCATGACCATGTAATTCAACATGAAATCATGGCAAGTCCCTGCTTGGGAGGTAGGTTGTGGGGGTTGAATGAAAAGGTGTGTGCCTGGGGATAGTAGTTGCTCAGTAAAACTTATCAAGACTATTATTTCTGAGTGT